CACGTGGATTCTTTAATGATGTTTTTGATCTTGCTCAAGTCCTTAAACCAATTAAGGAAGCTATTATATCTCTTGAACCTAAAACAACAAATTTAGCAGATTGTTATCTAGGGTATGTTAAATTAGCTGCTGCAATTAAATCAATTCCTCAAGACCAACATTTAATGTTTCATCATGCATGTGTTACAATATTCAATAATCAATTTAAAGTTTTTGATTATGATGAATATCTCTTAGCATATTATTTGCATCCACAGTACCGAGGTTTGTTTTAAATATATAATTTTTATATTTTATTTTTTTAATTCTTTTTAAAATTTTATTATTATTTTAGGTGCTGGAATTAAATCATCTCAATTTGCTCAAATAGCTAGTATTGCAGGTTGTTTATGGATAAAAATGGGAAGTAAAAATAGAACCAAACTTGATTTACTTAAAGCACAATTGTGTCAATATGCTTGTAATGAAACACCACCATACAATGAAACTTGTGTTACAAATATTGATACTCCTTTATGTTGGTGGAAAACTTGTGGGGATGGAACTAAACATAATCCAGGTGTTCTTTCAACTTTAGCAGTTAGATTACTTTCTGTCCATCCACATGCTTGTTAGCTGTGAACGTTGAACTCAATTAACGTCATCATATTTAGAATCCATGGTAAAAATAAATAGTTTTTTGACTTCAAATGCAAAACAAGAATTGCAATATTATGGTGTAGATTTGACAGAAGAAGAATTGTTGGGTGTTTTTCAAGAAGCTGCTTTGGTAGCTGAAACTAATGATGATTTAGAAGAATTTGTTGACCTACCTGATGATTCTAATATTGAATATGAAGATTAACAATTATTGTTAGACGATTTAACTAATCCTGAATTTGGCAATGAAGATAAGGGTTCAAATAGTGAAGAAAATGATGAAAATGATGATAATGACACAGATAGCAATAATGAAGATAATGAATTTGATGAAGATGAATTTGTAGCAGTATTTGTACAAATTTTACGAATGAATAAGAAGCATATAAAATTTGTGTTTAAATTTTTTAATTTTATAAAATTTTTTTTTAATAAATAAAAATAATATATTGTTAAATATTTTTAATATTTTACAACTTTCCTCTTAACATCAGAGCCCAAATGCAGAGTCCCACTATGAATCGCAAATTTCCTCCCTGTAGCTTGAAACGAGTTGCAGATTTTCTTAATATTCATCAACAGAGTTGTGATTTGGTCACGGATCCATCCTTACCCTAGAGGTAGGATCGTTGTAGGCAACTTGTTATCTAACATGTCAGCAGCTTTCTCTGGTCTGGGTTCTCTGAGGGAAGATTATCAAAAGTGTCATTGACAATGATGCAGTCTCAATAAACTCCAGGGCCATGCGCCGCCCCCTGGAAATTTAATTGCCTTCTATCTGTAAGGCAGAGCAAGGTCAGATTAGCCTTGTGCACACGAGGAACGAGCGAATGGCTGTAAAGTGTTCAAGGTGGCGTGTGTGCTTCAACGTCAGTAAATTTCCGATAATCAAATGTCACGTATCGAATTGTTTCATATTCGAATTGTTTCTTTTTCAAGGGTGTGCTGCCTTGACATTTTCTTGTAATTAATTATAATAATATTAATAATATTAATAATAATATTGAAAAGCCAAATACCATTTGTTTACCATCTCGATGAGATTCTTATAATTGCCCAGCAAGATCTACTCTGCATTTTGATTTCAATAATATACATTTATATAAAACAAAAGACACCACATTATATCAATGCAAATAAAAAAAAGTTACCTCTGGTTAGTTATTAACACTTCTTTAGGAGAACCACGTTTTGTCATCTGTCAAAAAATAAATTGTTTTTCCACTTCAATCGCGTCAACAAAAAAAAAAAAAACAATAGGGTTCCATAGATAAATAATTAGTGTGCACGCGTGTCGATCAATCAACAAATTATTCTCTTATTTTTTTAAAAAAATAATAAAAACGCCAAATCAAAAAAAATAACGAAAAACGAAAACGCACAAATGAACCTGGTGCAGCAAGAAAGTAAGTGTTTAAAAAGAATGGTGGTGGTGGTGGTTGTCGCCACTTGTCCTCACTCTAGTTTTAATATATAATAATAATAATAATAATGATAATAACAGCTACACAAATGACCCTGAAATTGAAGCATGCTACAAAAAAATATTAAAACTCAAGCTGAGATTGCTAGAATTAAAGCTAAAGCAATTTCATTTGTTGTATATCAAAATAAAAGGGTTTTTTTATCAGAAGCTCAAAATCATTTAACTATTGAGTGTGATGAGGCATGCAATTTGAGGATTGACAATTGAAAACGGTCCCGTTTACTTCGTCGAAAATTATTTCGTCGAAAATCATTTCGTCGAAAGTCATTTCGTCGAAAGTTCATTTCGTCGAAAGTTCATTTCGTCGAAAGTTTGTTTCGTCGAAAGTTTGTTTCGTCGAAAGTTCATTTCGTCGAAAGTTTATTTCGTCGAAAGTTCATTTCGTCGAAAGTTCATTTCGTCGAAAATTATTTCGTCGACAATCACTTCGTCGACAATCACTTCGTCGACAATCATTTCGTCGACAATCATTTCGTCGAAAGTTCATTTCGTCGAAAGTTTAT